AACCGCAGCTGTCAATAATTATCTAACCTTGTATTATTGAATCATGGACGCAACCTACTGAAATTTTGACCTGAAAAGTTTGGGTCTTATTCCTTTTATAAGGGTGCGGCTACCTCTCAAAAGGATACGTTTGTACTCACGCTGGTATAGTTTTTAAGAACCATTAATCCTGAAGGACAATTGAGAAAGGCAATGCAGTTGCAGAAAAAGAGGCATTTAAAAAAGTGTCAAAATAATTACTACTTTCTCACTAAATTTATTTAAAAATGCAAGCAACCAGAGCTCCGTTCTTTAAGAAAAGACAAATTAATCTTTCTTTTATGCAATCCAGCACAGCTACCTTAATACAGTCAGTCAATAAAGTTTAGGTACAACGAATTTTTTACAATACGGGCAAGTATTTTTTAAATATTTTAGTTTTCGGTAATTTTTTATAAAAATATGGTCAATTCTACAAAAAAATCCCCAAAAATCAAAGTTCAAAGCCTTGTGCAAAATTTAAGAAAATTCTGCAAAATTTCATTAAAATAATTCACTTTCTATTTATGCTATCTAGAAAAAAGTTGAGTTTGCAGTTTTTTAGCCCATTCAATTTTAGTATAATGAAGAGCAAGTATGAGGAAGCTAGGACTTACCAAACAACAAAAAAGAAAAAATTGCTAAATATCAATGGTAAGTGCTAGCTACCTCAAACGTGCACTTTGTTATACTAAAATTGAATGGGCCAAAAAACTGCGTACTTAACTCTTTTCTAAAGAGCGTAAATTGCAATATTTGGATGGAAATTTGCAGTTTTCTTTAATTTCGCATAAGGTTTGGAACTCTGATTTTTGGGGTTTTGGTGTAGAATTAACCATATTTTTACAAAAAATTTGGGAAAAATAAAATATTTAAAAAATAGTTGCCGGTATTGTAAAATTTTCGCTGTACCTAAACTTTATTAACTGACTGTATATCTTATTTAAGTTAAGTACGACAAAAACTTTCGAAGTACTTCATATACATATAAGCTTAAAAGGAACTGAATTTACTTAAAAATTAATGTGCTTAAATTTAGACAAGTAAGGCAAAGGGAACTAATATTTTTACTTTTAATCAGAACGCACTTTTTTTTTACATACTACTTAAGTTTAATACTACTACTACTACTAATGTGGTTTATAAATTTTTAATAAATGCGTTTAAACATTTGTGATGGTATTGTCCTTCCTTCAACCGATCGTATTTAATATAAAAGGGAAATGTTTCGACAAGCCTGATTAGAAATATAGATCTAAGGTGCCGAATTTATAACAGGTTGGGAACTATAAAAAATGGATGCAGATCGAACTAGATCTCATCTGTCGAATTAGGAACTGGTTTCGAACTAAAGAAAAGGGGATGCAGAACGAACTAGATCTCATCTGTCGAATTTGGAACTGGTTCGGAACTATAGAAAAAGTTATACAAAACGAACTAGATCTTATCTGTCGAATTTAGAACTGGTTCGGAACTAGAGCCAAAGGGATGCAACGGGGGACAATTGACACTTCCTAGGACATCGCAATGTTAAATTCGCCAGTCGTTAGCATGCAAAAGAGAATTAACGCGTACTAGTCATGGTTCCAAACGCACTAGAACCGAACCAGTTCCGCACTAGTTCGTTTCCCTACAGGGTATGGTCCTGCCGTGGGACATCGCAATGTTAATTGGTACATATTTTTTATATGAATTGTGGTTAATTTTGGGTACTCCTTGGTCCTTAGAGAGTACTCTTCACATGCATGCATGGAGTAGTCGCGATTTTTGCAGGGAAAGGAAAAACAGGCACACATTAACTGGAATTAACATATGTACATATGTATGTATGTATGTACATACATAAGCTGCGATTAGGTTACATTATATTTTGCTTAGCTGCACATCCTTCTTTGCACGAAAAACTTGTGCACTTAACCGAAAAAGGCACTTAAGCGAATTTTCTTTACTACTTCAATGAGGAAGCTATCCAAATCCCTATGAAACCAAATAGTGGCGGAGCACTTACCACGTAGAAATTACTGCAAGCGAAATTTTTACCGAATGGTATCTAATTATCTATTCTGCGAGATGAACAAAATAAATAAAAAGTTGTAAAATTAGGTAATTGTAGGGCCAGTGCAGGTAAGGTAATACTTTTTTTGATAATTGATACTAGTCGCAGGGTTACCACTGACGACCTTTATATAACATATGTATTTAGTAACATCGAAATATTATCTAACAAATGTGATATAGAAACTAAAACAAATGTTAATTTTCTGCAAACTCATCTACAGTCGCGAAAATATAAATAGGGAAGAAACATATTAGCGTTATTTGGCCATTTCCCGTTCCTTTATTTAATGTTTGTTATTTTTTATGAAAGTGTAGTTCGTTATCTATCAAAAACCATGTAAGTCAAAATTTAAAACTTTGTACAAAAATTAGGAAAATTCGACAAAGCTCCATCAAAATTTTGAGCTTTTTAGTTATATTCTCAGTATTAAGTTTGCACCCCATTCTATTTTAGTATAATAAAGTGTAACTTTGAAGTAGCTAGGACTTATCGTTGTTTTGTAGCAATTTTTTTGTGGAACCGTTGCTCATTTTCTCCATACGAAAAAATTGTCCAACATACATTGTATGGAACAAAATGCATCAACAAGTAATTGCCAAAAATCAACGGTAAGTCCTAGCTACTTTAAACTTACACTTTATTATGCAAAATTTTATTGGGCAACAAAACTGCAAAATCGAAAAAATTCTAAAGAATCATTAAAAGTGTAAAATTTTGATGAACATTTGTTCAAATTCGTCCATTTTTTATAAATGTTGTACAAAGCTTTACAATTTGATTTGCATGGTTTTTTAGATAGCAAGCCATATTTTCATAAAGCAATTATAAAAATTTTTTTAAACAAAGAAAAATAGCCAAAACTTGCTAAAATGTGTATTCCCTATTCACACCGTAAATAAAAGACATAAATTCATGATTACACACAAACATTAGGCATAAAAAGTTAATTTTATATCTTGTTACGTGCAGCAGCTTTTAATTTCATGCGATTATTGGCAAATTGGAAAAATGACTTCGATGCAGCTAAATATATATTCCGCTTCATCGCCGCCATTCTCATGTATGAAGGTTTCTGCAAATAATTTAGTACATTTTGAATTGAATGTAAAAGTAAAAAGAATCTGTCAGGAATCTGTTTCCTCTAGGTAGCTGAATAAGCTTATTAAATTGCTTAGTTGCGTTGTTAGTAAGTTAGTTTATATACTTACGACGTATACTTAAGGCAATCGTTAAACTGCGAGCGCAAGTTTTTGCGTCGGTTCCTCTCCATGACATTTTTTCAGCCACCGCATCTGTCATTATTTTTCCCCACGATTGCTTTACAAATGGTTTCGCCTTCGAAGAGGATGCAGCTTTGAAATCCGATTTCTAAAGTACATAGCCAGGTTACAAATCTATTATTCTCAGTAATACATTTGTATAACTATTTTACTAATAAATTTATTAATATATATATTTGATATGTACGCACCAGTTGACGAAACTTCTCCTCAACTTGTTGGATTTGTTTTTCGAACAAAAGAACAATTTCCAGACTGCTAAAAGGTTTTTCGGCAAAATAATAGGATAACCCCTTGGCATAGTTTTTTTCAGTTCTCCTACTTCCCTGCGGAGCGCTGTAACCTCTTCCAGTATGCCTAATAGTACAGCTTTATTTTTTGAGGGATTGAGTGGCTATGAAAACAAAAAAAAAACATTAATAGTGGATTAAAAAATAATAATAAAATAAATTGCATTAGTAACTAAACTAAATACTTGATGAATTTGCGCTTGCTAAAGAAAACTCTCCACTATTAATAACTGGGCTCGGCCGCAGTAAAACAAACGTTTGAGTCTCTTGCAGTTCCTCTGAACTACAAGTCTGCATTGTTGGTGTTGCATGAATGTATTTAAAACTAGAATGTGACATGGTCTGAGATAAGAGAAATAAAGCTGTACAAATTTTGCTCAATATTTGACAACGCTACAATCTTTGAAGTTATATCCTGAATTTTACACATTTCAATTGAGTTGTGGTACTTCAGCTCTCTTGTGCAATAGATATTAAAAAAGGAAGACGGCAGGGGATTATCAAACAAATTTTGTAAGCCTTGAACACGAACACCATATACAACTCCTTCACAGTGTGGACAGAATGCGCTTTGAAAATTCTCTTGTCAACTAGATAAAAATTATCAGGTGCTCTTTCCGATAAGTAGAAGCTCTTATTTTTTATATATTTTTTCTTGACACTTTTTTTAATGCTTGCACGGTTGAGATTTATGCTTTGCTCCACAATTCTATTGTATAACTGAGAAGTTACGTTATTCTTGTTTTTTTACAAGTGATTTTATTTTTCCAAGTTTATTCTCAAATTTAAAAGCGCTGATTGTCTCAAGGGAACCAAACTGTGATGAATCAGCCGCCAGATGCGTTAAGCAATGAAAATTGTAGGTTAATAAACTTTCACTATATAAACTCTGAACTCTCTTCACAAACTCGTTTAAAAGCTCAGTGGTACAATTATTGTTCCTTTTACAATCTGTTTTACTTAGCAAAATGCGAACACCGAGGCTTAACAGCAAAAAATGGGCATATCTTTCATAATTTAGAATGCCCCTCAAATCTACAGGTCCAGTATACATTCGGTGACCATATTAACCAATGTAAAATAAAGGGCATTTTTTTCAAAATTATTTGGGAATACGTACATACAACTTGTACGATAAAAGTACCTTGCCCATATCGTAATTTAAATCAAATATTTACCAGTTAGTTAACCGATTCCGGAAAATGAAGCCAAATCCTTTTCAAGGACTTCGTCATCATTTGCTGCCAAAATACATTTACCGAAGTCAGCACACAGAGGTTCGAAATTGGAATTTAATGTTCGTAATTCACCGCAGTCTTCATTTTTCAACCAATTTTTACTAAAAACCAAAAAAAAATATTTTTGTGAATCTTTTTTTATAACATTTCAAACATTTTTTGTAATTTTTTCGTTTTGGGGGACCATACAATTGTTTTTAACTAGTCTTTGTTACGTAACATTTATTAACTAATGTATTCTCCATTTTCTTCAAATTTGCCACTTTTTCAGCATTTTGCACTAAAAAATTTAATATAATCAAATAAAAATTCACAAATCAGGCTCAACTGCTATCTTGCAAATATTATAAGCTTTAATAAAAAAATATCAAATTAAGTGAAAAAAATGAAGGCTCCAGTGAATTACGAACACTAAATGCCACTTTAGACCACTGTGCAGCAGGGGGTTTATTGTTCTCTTTCAATGGAACTGGAAACTCAGCGTGCAACACGATCCTGTGCACAACTTTCCCTGTGCTTTATATATTGTGCAAAGATTACCTATTAAATAAAAACCCTTAAGTGGGGTGCGAAACAAACTGAAGATTTTCATTATATTTTATAAGGAACATTTTTATTTTTCATATTCTGAAAATTTACCTCTGAAAAATGCAGATCTGATTTAAAGGACAGTTTAAGAAATAAAGGACAAAACGCGTCCTTTATTTTGAAAAAAATTAGAAAGGACAGGGGGTTAAAATAAAGGACTGTCCTTTGAAATAAAGGACAGATGGTCACCGTAAGTATACAACATAAATTTGCGAAATTCACTCGCTTTAAATCGATCCAATGCAATGATTTACATTTAAAAATTCAAAATTGAGCGATCTAATTGTACTTGAATCCAAAGAATACGTTTGATATTTTTTCTTAATCCATGGCTTCAATAAGGCTTTCATAACGCCTAAGCAAACGACATGCATGTAGTCCAAAGGAAATGTTTTGATCATGTCTATGGGCACTTTTTCGAGTTCTGTCATAGTTTTTATCTTGG